ATCGGGGCCCCTCTTCGCTAACAAGGAGGAATGAGGCTGGGCCCCCACTCCGAGGCCAGGGTTCTCGGCTCCCCTCCGCATGCAACGTTCTCAACAGCTGTCATGCACGATCGCCCATCGCTTAAACCGAATAGTATCATCCCGACCACGCCGGTATCGAACCCCCACCTCCATCTCCTGCCAAGAAATAGCATGCGGTGCACACGCGTTGGTCTACGAGGTTCGTTTAGCAGCCATACCTGTGCGATACATGCGAGCGCCCCTCCTGCGCGCATATGTCGAATCAGTTAGCCACACCTGAACGAGCGAACTCAGGACATCGACTACATGGGCATGTTTCAAGAGTGTCCAAATGTCTGCGCCAAGGTCATACAAACGTCTGCGCGCGCTCTCCCTCCTCCTCCTCCTCCTCATCAGCATCATCATCAGCATCATCTACAGCATCATCGGCATCGACATAATCATCACCATCATCATCATCATCATCATCATCATCATCATCAACATCATCATCATCATCATCATCATCATCATATTCATCATTATATCATCCTCAGCACCACCACCACCATCATCATCAGTAGCACCATCATCATCATCATCACCACCACCATCATCACCATCGCCATCCTTCATCACTATCATCCCTATCATAGTCATCATCAGCACCACTTCATCATAGTCAGCATCAAAATCATGATCATCATCATCATCATCATCAGCAGGATCATCACCATCGTCATCATCCTCTCTAGAGTAATCATGGTGATCATCATCAGTATCATCATCAGCATCATCATCAGCAGCAGCAGTTTCATCGTCCCCCTCATCATCAGCATCATCATCATCAGCAGGAGCAGCAGCATAAGCATCACGAACATCATCATCATCATCATCATCATCATCATCATCATCATCATCATCATCATCATCACCCTTACCAGCATCGCCACCATCACCAACAACATCCTCATCAGTATCAGTATCATAAGCGGCAGTCGCATCAGCATCATCCTCATCAGCATCCTCATCATCACAATTATCAGCATCATCAGTACCACCATCACCATCAATATCATCACCATCGTAATGTGTTTATTCATCATCACCGTCCGCATCAGCATCATCATCGTCACCACCATCACCATCAGCATCAACAGCATCATCATCCTCAGCATCAGCATCATCATCAATAGCATCATCGTTTCTAGCATCAACAGCACGAACATAATCATCACTACACGCATGGCCATCACAATCGTTGCTGTCACCATCACCACCGTCGACCTCCTCCTCCTCATCATCATCAGCATCATCATTATCATTATCATCGTCATCATCGCCAGATGCCGTCGCCCTCGTCAATGTCGCCGCCACCACAGGTGTTGCACCGTGCCAGAGTGCACCATGCACAGAGTGCACCGCAAACATTGCACGTCGAGGGTAGACGTCTCCCTCCCCCCGCGCAGCCTGGGCCCGCACCGACGCTTCTCAAAACTGACCAGCAGGTCATGTGCGAACCATGGGACAAGACCCCCGCCATGGGCGCGGTGCTGGCCTTCCCCCCACGAACCCGATGCGTGGGCGCAGCCCTCTGCACGCCGTGCCCCCCCAAAACGCAGCGCATGCCTCGGCTCATCTCTACAACGCCCTGGGCGTTTTCTTTGCTGCACGTTCTCCGCCGGGCTCTTGACAAGCTGCACGCGCTAAGCAAACGCTACGCTTTGCTGGCGTGTTTGGAAATAACTGCTTCAACGCGCTCAGGCCAGTCGCTGCGGAGCACAAGCTGCTTTGTCGTGTGGCGCTGCTGCCTTGCCCAACGCTGCTGCTCATCTTCCCTGCATGCAAGCTGCGTTCCCGCTTGCCCGTTCTCGTCACAACACCCATGGATGGGGCGGGAGGGGGGGCGAGGGGTGCGGGCAGCAATTAAATCCACATCCAGCGCGTCTTGGAGTTTGGGGCTCTTTTCCCCAGAAACCGGAGGCGCATTGGATATGGATAAACATCTGGACCCAAAAGGGTAGATGTTTGTCCATATCCAATGCGCCTCAGCCTTGCGGTACCCCTTCCCAAAAAGTCCAAGACGCTCTGGATATGGATATAAGTATTGCCCGCAAGGGGGAGGGAGGGAGGGAGGAGGAGGAGAAGGAGGAGGGCGGCCGAAAGTGGTTCCCGCGCGCAAAGCTGAACACGGTAAACCACACGCTCTGGCACGGGTCCGACACTGGTGCGAGACAGGCCCGGGAGCCCATGGCCCGTCCGCAAATGGGCTCCGACGATGGAAGGCGGCACGGGCCCGGAAACGCAAAAACAACGAGTTGGGACCCGAGGGACGGAACAGCAAAGCGACACGCATAGCTGACAGCTGGAAGCGAACGCCCGAGGCATACCCAAGGTTGACGAGGGCGGACGAGGACCTGTTGGGGGGTTCTGCGGCAACGCATGGGGGCCTCCCATGCCATCTTGCCCGAATCGACGCTGATCGACGCCCATCGGCGCTGATCGACGCTGATCGGCAATGATCGACTCTAATCGGCGCCAAATCGGCGATACCTCATCGATTACCAAACGCTGATCAACGCGAACGCACTCTCGAGACGGAATCACGAGAGGATACAAGGCTCCCATGATGCACTACCGAAATGATGGAAGTTATGTGAGCCACATCCGGCAGACACTTTTCTCGGGGGCACGCAAAAATTGGATTAGCGATTCATGGATTTGGCGCGCGGTCGCCAAATCCATGGATCGGGGGAGGTGCCCTCGCCAAAATGTGGCCGGTGCCGCCTCGTCTGGCGGCGGAAATCCGCGATTTCCCGTGGAAACGGGACCCGTCGTTAATCCACGCCCCTTTCATCCATGTTTGCGATCGCCTGATTTTCAGGGGTCACCCTTGGCTCGCCGTTGGTCCACGGAGATCCAGAGCGACGTGGCCCACGAACTCTCAATCCCATCCCTTGGGCTGGTCTGAGGTCGGGCATGTCCCCCCACAGGCGGATTTTCGAGGAAGAATGAAAGATGGTCAAAGAATGCGCAACAATAGTCAAAAATAGTCAAAACATCGTCGTGCCTAGACTATTTTTGGACTATTTCTGGATACTCCTCCTGTAGAGGGATGCGCCCGACTTAAGTCTTACGCCGCAGGGCCGTCTTGGGGCCTGCAGGACGGCACCCAGGGACCCAGAACTCAACGAAGCGGTGGGCGTGCTTTCCCCCTCCTCCCAGCGCATCGCCACGCTGGCCTCCCACGTGGATGGGCAGATTTTCTACCACTAGGTAGGAGAGGGTGGAGGAGGAGGAGGAGGAGGAGGAGGAGGAGGAGGAGGAGGAGGAAGACCTTCCCATCCCCCCTTCTCCCCCGTCAGGCCGATGGTAGTGGTGGTGCGAAATGGGCCCATTACACGTAGCGCGGTCCCGACCGGAGATCCCGAGAGCGGGTCCCGCCAGTGGCGACGACGGCCCCCTGTGGCAGCCAAGGCGCTGCCACAGCACAAGTCCCCCCTTCTCCCTCCTCCAAGTCCCGTCAGGAGGAGGAGGAGGAGGAGGAGGAGGAGGAGGAGGAGGAGGAGGAGGAGGAGGAGGAGGAGAGCACGCTCCACGGACTGAGGTCGGCCTGCAAGAACCGGGCCTCGGATCACCACGAAGCCTCTCGGAGAGGCCTGGGGCCTGTGGAAGGCCCATGGATCCGAGCACGGCGAAGACCTCGGGACCCGTGTCCCCCAATGCCCTTGTTCTCCAGTGGATCGAGAATCATGTCCTGATTCGGTTGGCTCAGGACGCGTTCTGGAATGTCCAAAGTTTTCGGCCATCGGCCACCCGTAAACGCTTGGACAATCGTCTCTGGCTGCACGGGACAAGCCTGGCAACCTCGGGACGCATCAATATCACAGCTTAGTCCTCCTTCGATCCATCGCGACAAGAGAGGAGTGCGAGGCGAACCCCCCGACCTCCCCCGACCCTCCGCGGGGGCGCCGACGCGACCGCCGCTGAAGCCGCTGCCGCCGCAGCCGCCGCTGCGGGCCCTGGCCGCTGTCACCGCAGGACGTGGCCGCCGCCGCCGCTGCCACCGCCACCCGCCGCTCGCCGTCGCCGAGGGGGGGGGGGAGGAGGAGAAAGCGGAGGAGGAGGAGGAGGAGGAGGAGGAGGAGAAGAGGGAGGAGGAAGAGGAGGAGGAGGAGGAGGAGGGAGGAGGAGGAGGAATGATGGAAAAAAGGAGGAAGGGAGGAGGATGAGAAGGAAGTAATGGGAGGAAGAGGAAAAGGAGGAAAGGAGGAGGAGGAAAAAGGAGAGGAGGAGGAGAAAAAAAGGTAAGGAGGAGGAGGAGGGGAGGGTAGGGAGGAGGAGGAGGAGGAGAGGGAGGAGGATGATGAGGAGGAGGAGGATGAGGAGGAGGGCGAGCAGGAGGAGGGCGAAATGGAGGATGAGGAGGAGGAGGAGGAGGAGGAGGAGGAGGAGGAGGAGGAGGAGGGCGAGGAGGAGGAGGAGGAAGGAGGAGGAGGAGGATTAGGTTAGGTTAGGCACGCCACTAGACCCGCCACCCCGTGCTGGCACCGAGGCCCCAGCGCGACATGGCGAGCCCGTGGATTATCCATCAGTCTCTTCCACCGCCGCCCGCTGGCCCATTGGGCTGCGGGGGCCCACTCCCAGGTGCCAGGGTCGCGGGCACCCTGGGGTTCACGCTCGGCGAACGGGCGGCGGCGGCGGCGACAGGTGCACAGGGCTGCGCCTGTGTCTCATACCAATGCCAACCTACTCGAGCAAGAAGCGAGACCACGACGGCCTAACCCCTCGCCGCGTTGGGGAATTGCGTGGCCTAACCCCTCGCCACGCTGGGGCAGGAAGCGGTCTAACCCCTCGCCGCGTTGGGGCCGGTGGCCTAACCCCTCGCCACGCTGGGGAGTGCTGCGGTCTAACCCCTCACCGCGCTGGGGATCGCCTTGCCCTGCACTCTCGCCGTGCTGGGGCCGGGTGCGGTCTAACCCCTCACCGCGCTGGGGGACCTCGTCGTCATACTCGGCGTACAGCTCCAGCTCGATGTAGTCGCCAGTCGGCGCCCGTGGCAACCTGCTCGAGCTCGCTACCGATCCACTGCTGCGGCCTAACCCCTCGCCGCGCTGGGGAGGAAAGTGGCCTAACCCCTCGCCGCGCTGGGGATCGGTGCGGCCTGACCCCTCGCCGCGCTGGGGCCTGTGGCCTAACCCCTCGCCACGCTGGGGTCTGCTGCTGCGGTCCAACCCCTCACCGCGCTGGGGATCGCCTTGCCCTGCACTCTCGCCGTGCTGGGGCCGGGTGCGGTCTAACCCCTCGCCGCGTTGGGGATCTCTGCACCACGTGGAGCGGTCGCGTGGCTGCCCCTGGCTCGGGGGGGTCGCACTGGGGTGCTCAGTGAGCTGCTCCCCCACGACTCCCACACCATCGCGCCGCCCCTCAAACCTCCGCTCGTCGTCATTCTCATCATGCAGCTCCAGCTCGATGTAGTCGGCCGTCGGTGCCAGTGCAAACCTGCCCAAGCTCGAAGCCGATCCACCGCTGCGGCCTAACCCCTCGCCGCGCTGGGGGGATAGGTGGCCTAATCCCTCGCCGCGCTGGGGATCGGTGCGGCCTAACCCCTCGCCGCGCTGGGGACGGTGGCCTAACCCCTCGCCGCGCTGGGAGCTGCCGCTGCGGTCTAACCGCTCCCCGCGCTGGGGATCGCCGAGCCTCGCGCTCTCTCCCTGCCGAGGTCGACTGCGGTCTAACCCCTCACCGCGCTGGGGGCCCTTTCTCTTCGCGGAGCGGTCGCGTGGCTGCCCCTGGCTCGGGGGGTTCGCGTTAGGGTGCTCATCGAGCTGCTCCCCCACGACCCCCACACCACCGCGCCGCCCCTCAAGCCTCTGCTCGCCTTCGGCACTGCGGTCTAACCCCTCGCCGCGCTGGGGACTGCCATGGCCTAACCCCTCGCCGCGCAGGGGCTCCATGCGGTCTAACCCCATCACCGCGCTGGGAAAAGTCGCAGGAAAATCGTCTAGGTCCCGCTGCAGGTCTGGGTCGTCGTAGTCTGCCATCGTCTCGGGCTGCGCTGTGAGCTGACCCTCACATGCGCACTCTGCTGGATGTACTGCTGGTGGGGTGTATCTCGCTGCTGGCCGTCGCTTCACTGTCCTTCTAGGTCGAGGCTCTGGATGTGGTTCTGGTGGGGGTTCTTCAGCGCCAAGGGGGCTTGCTCCTCATGCGGGGCCAGGCGTTCATGATCCCGCAACTCCCTCACTGCCCGTGCCAACTCCGCCTCTTGTGCCGCCTTCGGTGGTCCTTTATAGCCAGGGTATCGCCCATCGCGTATCCCGTTGAGCGCGTCCTGCCCGTACTTGGTGATCGTCTCGTCACACGGCTCCCTCAACCTCTTTCCGATGGTCGTGCCATGCGCCGCACACCGTGCACAGAACAACAGACCATACCGCGCCCACTCACTGATCACATGGCTCTGGTATATCTGGCCATTGCCCATGAACCTGTCGCCCTTGACCTCCACGATCTCGTTTGCCGTGCTGAACGTGGCATTGCACTCCGTCGTCGCGAACTCTTGCAGGGCGTCCGCTGCGACATACTGCCTGCACGCTGTACAAAACCACTTATTCTTGAGCTTGGCCATGTCGTGCTGCTTGGCACTGCTAATGATATCCTGCTGCTTGTCGCGCTTTACCTTGGGCTTGGCCGTGGAGGGTCTCTCTGCGCACCAGGGGTCCATGCTCGCTGTGTCTGCCAACGCCTGCCGTGCTCGTAGTCTAACATGTGCACAGATCGCGTCCCATTCGTCCGTGGGAGGTAGGGGCCTGCTCACTCTGTCCCATGATGCCTCCGCTGCCACCGTCGCCAGAGCGTCTGCGAAACTATTGCCCACCGCAAAGATCGGGTTGATCAGCTCCGCCTCCTCCTCGTCCTGATGTGAGGGGGTCCACTCCACTTCGATATGCCTGGGGTTCGTGTCCATGATCGCCCACTTGATTCGTGCCCAAATGTCAGCGTTCTGACCTCTACCTGGGTCGTGTGTTCTACCTCTTGACCACGCGTTGAGTAGTGGATAATGGTCCGTGACGTACACGATGTCTCCTAGGGTTTCCTCGATCGCGATCGCGAAGGCCATGAGCTCACCTCTCGGTACTGTTTGCCGCCGTCCTGGAAAATCTGCCATCGTACCTGCTGGCCTCCTGATCCGTCGCCAAAGAGATACAGACGCCGTCCTGGTACTCGAGCCTCCTCGTAATTGCCGAACCTAACGTAGTTCTGCCTATCTATGTCGGGCACCTCTGGATGTGTGAGCTCTCTTGGCGGGATCCCACGCAGCCAAAGGGTGGGGTTCGCTTCCACTCCTGCCATCGCTTTGGGCACCAAGTAGTCCGTTTTCTCGTAGTTCTCGTGCCCAATGCTGGCAGCACAAGCGTAGATGCGGTGGAAGAGGGTCTCGGCCTCCTGTTTGCACCTCGCGCAGATATTTGCGTCGCATTCGTAGCCGGCTTGGATCTGTCTTTGTCGAGTCCATTGTCCCCCTGTTACCTCCACATTGTTGAGCGCCCAGTCCTGCCACTCTGCGCGCTGGCTGAACCTTTTCTGTTCCTTGCTGATATGCCAAATATCTCCTCCGCGTTGTAAATCTTCGCCGTGTAAATGTGTTGCTGCTTGTGCCCACCGTGCCGCGTCAAGGTCGTGCTCGAGGTCTTCCAGCAATTGAGTATATTATATGGCATCGATGTCGCACTTGCCGTCCTCGTCAATGAAAGGGAGCTGTCATTGTTCGTCTCCTTGCTGCGTAGGTCACTTCCAGAGCGCCACCTGCTCTGGCTTCCACCCTGCCGCGATCAAAGTAGCTTGTATTGCCGCCACTGGTTCATTCACCTTACGCCACATCTTAGAACCTGCTCTGACCAGCTTGCGGTACGTTGGGCCCCATACTTGCCGTACTCGTCTGCGCAGTCCGGGGTGGTGCATCCATTGATGTAGCCATTCGCTGACAAGCTGTCTCCGTAAGCTAATGCCTGGGTCCTTGAGGTGATACAGAACCGCCATGCCCGTGGATAAACACCTCCCAGGTCCAGTCCCAGCAGCCGATCGCATTGCCATCCTTCGTAGCTGTAATATGCGGCTAGGTGCGATGCCCCAGACCTCGTGCCCGTACGACTCCTGCGGGGAAGCGCCCGTGGTGAACAAGCCCTGGGTGGTCTTCGCTACTTTCGTCGCCATTCGTCTTAACCGAAAGATCTTGCCTGCTCTCTGTTTGGCCTTGCGCTGTCTTGCTCTGGCTTTCTTTTGTGTTCGCTTGCCCATGCCACTGACGTCCGTGCCAAGGTCCACCATGTCTGCTTGCTGTTTGCCTGGGGGACCGCGCTGCTGGAGCTTGCGCCAGATACGCCTTCGCAACTTAGGGTTCGACGCCACGAGCACCGTCTTCGGGGAGATCGTTAGGATCGTTAGGTTCTGCTGAGGAACCTGCTGGATGAACTCGTCTGCCAACTCTAGCATCTGCTTCTCAACCATCTCCTCTGTGCCTTCCACGCGCCCAACCGTGTCGTCCACGTACGACCACAAGCCCGCTGCCTGCACTCTCTTCTGCGCTGCCTCCAAGAAGGGGGCGAGGTAGGCTTTGGCGAACCTGGTGCCCTGTGCCGAGCCAGCGACGATTGAGCACGTCGGGTCGATGCTGGGGCCTATCCACCCCGCGTGCTTGAGGCGCCGTGGCCTCAAGAACGCTCCCACTTCCATTGCCATAACTGTCGGTGAGAAATCCAGCTTGATCCCCGTGTCGATCATCCATCCGAGATCCAATGAATCATAAAACTGCTCCATATCGGCGAACAACTCCGCGTGTGCAATTCCCATTGTGTGCCCCGGTTCGTCGAGCGTGGCTCTGAGTAATGCTGCTCGTAGGGCCGATGATCCTCGTAACGCCGTGTCTCAGTGATCCTCCAGCTGCTGCGTCCACGACTCTACCACCCCAGACCGCATCCGCGACCATATACGTATTGTCATAGGTAACAGCCTCAGAACTCGATCACCTCCAGCTGGTTTGCCCGCAATCGCTCCAATGGTGCCGAGGACTTGTGGGGGCCACATGAGATAACTCTCGGCGTCTGCTATGATATCGAAGAAATATGTCTTCGCTTGGTCTGGGAATCGCTCGATATCTAACGGCCCAATTGCGTCGATCCCTCTTGCCTTCTTCACTCCCATGCGTCGTGTCGCCACGTCGAGGTCCTGGATGGTGAGTCGCGGTAGTTCCTCCTACTCAGCCTGCTGTCGGCAACGGTGGAGAGCGTCTGCGAGTGCTGCTTGTCTGTGCGATGTGGCGGTCCACTTATTGGCCCAAGTGTCGCTCTTGTGATTCATGATGAGGATGGGGTCCGCCACTAGCTTACCTGAGATCATCTCCTCGCGCCGTGGTTGTTGGTTGTCTTTTGTTCATCGATGTAATGCGCCTGGGGTCTTCTTCCACACATCCTGTGCCCACTTGATGAAGCCCTTGGTGCCGTCAGCCATTGCACGCCTCGCTGCTTGCCCTGCCAATCTCTATGTGATCTCTATCACGTCTTCTCGCTCCTGTCGTGCTGGACTGAAGATGTCGCGCGCCTGCTGCTGCCACTGGTTGAGGAGCTCCACGTCTTTGTGCTTGCTGGCCCCGTGCACCTGCTGTATACGCTGCCGAAAATCTTGCCCTCTCTGCTGTAACTGCTGTGGATCCCTGTTATTCTTGACCAGGCCACTGATTGCGACCGCGTGAGTACGTGTGATAGCCCACCAATCTGCTTCAGGGTTGTACAAATGGGGCCTGCCTGGTGATGCCGTGCCCCTTCCATGTGATGCCAAAACCCTGCGCCCTGCCACGATAAGTATCTCGTTGATGCACTGGTACTTCTGAATGCTGTAGTATGGCCTCCTCTAATGTCGTGATCCACCTGCCGTAGCTGTTCGCCAAGTACTGCGCCAGTAGAGGACGATCGCGATAGGCTTGTGGTCGCCATCGCTCCCATCGGAGCCGTATGCCTGGTGGGGCCGCCGTCGTGGGAGGCATCTGAGAGGGCGTGGGAGACGCTGGGGCGCGGTGCCTCTGAGAGCCCCCGCTGGGGGCAATGTCCGAGGTCACGAGACTGGGGCCAGATCCCTGCCTCAGCTCCCAGTAGATTCGTGGCGCAGGTGGGCTGGGCTAGGCGAGCTGTTTGAGGGTCGGGACTCCTGGCCAGGAGACTCCCGGGACCTGGGGTCCAGCGAGGTATCGCGGCGACGAGTCGGATCGGCGTGAGGCCTGTGGAGGATACCAGACAATCCCCATTTGGCGTGATCCCAGGTGTCGTCGCTGATGTTAAAGAGGGTCGTTGAAGAAGCCGCAGTTCGCGTCTCTGATGTCGGGGATGTGTCCAGAACCTCTGCCTCTGGGTCCTGCTCAAGTAGATCGAAACCGTGTCGTAATTCTGGGGCCAGAGCCTCTCGTCGCTGTTGTAGGCGCTGTAGCTGCTTGCTCCGCTTGCTGTTGATGTCCTTCTGCTTCTTCGGCCTCGGCTCGGATGGTAAACTTTTTGGGGTGTCCAACGTGCGGTGCCACCATCGCTGCTTCTTTCCAGCCATTCGTATCCGTAGCCCACAATGCGTGGCCCACGGTACCGCGAGCTCCTTGGTGATGGTGAGGCCGTCCTTGAACCCTGCCGAGACCACTCCATAATCATATGACGAACCTTTGCCTTTATCGCAAGTCACCTCCTCTGGCCCCGTGACAATCTCTCATCGCATCTGCTCTATCCAACCTGAGGCAAGTAGTTCGCCGGGAACGCAATTCCAATCTGCAAGCGCAAGCCATGGGTCTTTCTGCAATCTTACAAACGCTGTGAGGGCTGCCATGATTGTTCGATTCCTGCCCGTGAAGTTCAGGCTCGGCTGCAAGTGCGCCGCGATGAGGAAGAACTTACCGATGCTGAGGTGGAGTACCATTGGGGAGAAACCCACAAAGGTCGCGTCGCCCTGCTTGTCCTGCTTGCCCTTCCAGTGCTCCAACGAGGTGGCCTGGATATGCGTGCGCGTGGCG